GCTGCTTACAACGTGGCTCGCCTTCGCCGTGGTTGTCTGCAGCCCAACCGTCGTCCTCCGCGGCGCCTCAACGAAGAAAAAGGCGCCTACGGGCGGAAAGTTTTCGACCCCGGCACGTACAGCACCCGGTAGTTTGCGTCCACCTTCCCGGGATGGAGCACATTCGGTCGCAGTGCGACCGCGTCGGTGGGGCACAGCCGCGGGTTCGTTTGCAGCAGGCAGGGGCGTGGCTCGCGTTCCGTCGGGGGCTGCAGCTCGCGCAGCTTGCGCCGCGCCCTGCTCACAAAGCCCGGGCACATGAACGCGCCTACTGCGTGCACCCGCACGGCGGACGGCAGCAGCACATGATGGGGCATCGGCACCGTCATGAAGCCGGCGCGCGTCCGCATCGCCCTCGTCACGCGCACCAACACTTCGGCCCTGACCGCGGCAGAAGCCGGGGCGTTCTGGAAGCACTCCGTCCCCCGCCCCGTCACCACCCGGACCCATCGTCGAGGAGTCTTCTGCCGGAACGCGGCAGCACCACAAATCCGTTTTGTCCAGCCCGACGTGGCAATTGACGGCCCATGCCGTGAGCCGCCCCATCGCCCCCTCCAGGCGACTCGCAAGCTTATGCCAGCGTCCGTCCAAAACGTTGCGCCGATTTGGGCCCACAAGAGCCATGCCCTTTTGGACGCCCTCCCAGTACTTCGCTTTCTCCTCCGCAGGGCATTCGCGCACCTCCCAAGCACCCATCGCCGTCACATCGCTCTCGTCAGGGCAGTCCATGACGATGCGGCGGGCGCCCATTTCATCCTCCCACTCCCTGTAGCGAGTTTCTTCTGGGGGCAGCGCGACGAGCACGCCCCAGCCGGCGGGAGGGAGTTTGACGGACAACGCCTGCCTCTCTCCCCATATCACGTCGCAGATGATATACCCCCTCGTGCGCGTCGCGACCTCCAGAAAACTCTCCGTCGCCGAGCTCAAAAAAGGGAAAGCGCGACATCGTTTTTCTGGCCTTGTCAAACAGAAAAGCACTGCCTCCAACGAAATACGCGACCGTAGGGAGTTGCTCGGCGTCGTAGTGCTGCAGCTGGTAGAGGAGGTAGGCGCCGCCCGCCATCGACTTCCCGATCCCGGACGTCCCGGTCAAGGCACGCCGCACAGGCGCGGAGTTTGCTCCGCCGTGCGTGCCAAACGACCCGTCTAGGTCGCCCTAGGCAATCTGCCGCACCCGCTCCACCTCAGAGTAAACGCAGCAGTCGGGGAAAGACCGTAGCTGGAGCGGCCATCCCCGCCCCGAGATAAGCACCAGGAACCCGGGGCGCGGTGGAGAGAACTGCGCCGCAGCGTCCTCCATTAGAACAGTTGCCCCCTCCACCTTCCATTCCCACGGCTCCGGCGGCCTGCCTTCCTTCGGCTCCATCCTCGCCCCCCCGCTGCCGTCGGGAACCTCCAAGACGTGGCCCTACCTCGCACCGAACATGGACTCATAGAAGCCATCCATCTTCTCCAACGCGGCGCTCGCCACAGACGCCCCCGCCGCGGCGAAGGCCGCACGCAGCCCACTCCCCAGAAGAGGGGCGGCGGCCGCGGATTTTTGTAGAAAGTCTTATTATTACTGTTGTAAGCTTTTTTTTTAAATCCTTTTGGGTGGCCGGGTTTTGTGTTGGCGAGTTCGGCGCATCCTGGTTTCGGCGTGCTGGACGAACCTCGATGCCCACATTCTCATTGCACGTGGTGCGGCCGGTTGTGGGACTCACTTTGACAGCATTTTTCTTTTTTTATTTCTTCTGGGAAGATGCGCCCATTTTCACGTAGCGGCCTTTTTCACTCTTTTCTGGCGCGGTTTTTTCTCGTCGGCAGTCGCGGAAATGTGCCCGAGGCAGGTTCCTTACCTGCGTTTGAAAGTCGTCGTAGGAGGCGTATAAGACTCAGTAGTGAAAATGCAAAAAAAGACCAGGAGACGAGCAGCACACTGAGGATGCCGGTGATGGACGAGAACGAGGCGAAGTCCATCTGTTTCGAGAGTTATGGGTTTCTTCACAAGCCTTTCAGCTTTACCCATTGGTCAGCGTTTTTACAAGAACTTCGTCAGATCGAGTTTCGTTGGACGTTGGCCCCGATTGCTGGTGGGGTTATCGTGTTTACTGCCTTGGAACACGGGGGAGAGGGTGAGAAAGTGCTATGCCAGCTCAGGGGGTCCACGGGATCTGCACCAATTGCTGAGTTTTTTGAGTGCTGTGGAACTCTTACGCAGGGAAGCTGTGACAAGCGATCCGTAAGATTTATTGATCTTGACGGTAGTGAGCATGTGCTTAGAGTTGTGTCGAAGCGACAGCTTGCTGCCACGAATGCTGCCACTCCTATATCTGATGAGCCAATTCTCCCTGTATTATCTCAGTACAATTGTCGAGGGACCTCAGTAGACGTTTCAGTAATAGACTCTAGGACAGGTGTCGTGACTCCTCTCTTTCACGACCTCTCATTGCAAACCTTTAACTACGCCTTTCTGACCTCGATACCCATATTTCTTAAACGCGGCGATGTTGGGATACGGAACGCTGACTTTGTCTCGAAGGAGCAGATGCGACATTTTCGTTTTGCGTGGTGTTTTCTGAGGCGGGAATCAATGATGACGGCAGTTGAAATGAGCGAGTTGGATCTTTTGTTGCCACCTTGATATATACATGAGCTTTTGCGTTTTTTCTACTAAAGAACGTTGGTGGGAATTTAGGCCCTTGAAATCGGCTCTTTATAAAAAAAAGGAAAAAACCCTGAAACAGAAGTAGACACATCCCATCACGCCTTTTTTTGCGTTGCTTTTCATCCTTGTTTTTATTTAGCTAAACAACTATAGGCTGTTTTTGTACAAATGCGTGCCCTTCGTCTGAGAGGTGTTTCATTCTTCTCACAGGGAGTCCTCGTCCCTTTAACAACTCCTCGTGCATGGTGTGCGGATCAGACAACCAAGGACAAGGTGGAGAATGACACTAAAAAAACAAAGGAGGAACCCTTATTAACCCAGGAGGCATTTGCAAAACTGGAAAAGGAACTTGAGAATGCAAGGGTAACTATCGCCGAATTAAAAAAGGATGTCCTTTATCGTGCTGCAGAGGCTGAAAATGCCCGTCGCATTGGGCGTGAGGATGTTCAGAAAGCGAAGAGTTATGGAATAACATCATTTGGGAAAGACATGCTGGAAGTTGTTGATACTCTTGAAAAAGGCCTTGAGGCGATGTCGAAAGTCTCGGCCGAGGAGTTTGAAAATAACAAAAATATGAGCTCTATTCATACTGGTGTTAAACTGTCTACCAAGTTGTTGCTGAACAATTTGTCAAAACACGGAATTGAAAAGATGAGCGTAAATGTTGGTGACACTTTTGATCCCAACTTGCATGACGCGCTGATGAAAACATCCCCTACTCCTGAAATCCCCAGCGGTCATATTTCTATTGTGTTGAAAGGCGGATACAAGATTCAGGAGCGTGTGCTACGGGCACCTCAAGTTGGTGTCGCCGGCGACGATTGATGATGAGGGTGAAAAAGAAGTGAGGGGATGAGATCTCGCATATGCTTTTCTTTTCTTACTTTTTGGTTTTTAACAAATTAAAAATAATAGGATAAAAATAAAACTGGGCTATTCCTATCAGGAAGAAAAAAAACGAAACAAAAGAATAAGTAAATAAAATAGTGAGCGAGGAAAACAAAAGTAAGGTTATTAGTTCCCTTTTTCATCACATAAAAATTGAACTATTCAACTCAATTTGCGTTTTACGGCTTTCACTTGTCTTTTTCCACTGTAATGAGTTCACTATCTTCTGTGGTTTTCTTCCTTGCTTCTTGTCCTGCCTCTAAAGGTTTTCTTCGCTCAGAAGTCATGGATGGAAAGCCTTACACTTGGGCATAAATATTGCGGTGTGTGATCTTCGACCTGCACAATACAAGTCAAAAAATGAAAGGTTTAGTCGGCTACCAATATGTCTAACGGCAATTGTTTCCAGCTACGCTTTTGTGTAGTGTCGGCTCTGCATTTATTCTTCTCACAGACCTACGGAGGGCATCGTGATTCGACGCTATTTGTTCCGTTGACATGCCCGATACACTGGGTGGTACTCTTTTTAGTTTCCACACAAACTCGTTTTTATGTGCTGAGTTCGTGGGCCTCGTGTGGCTAAGGGGCTGGATACAGGGAA